AACAGGTGAATTCTTTTCTCCAGTTTTTCAGCCAGTTCCTGTTACACAGTAATTTGTAGCCTACTATGTGTTGATACTCAATGCACCAGCTCACACACACTAGTGTACATGTATTTATTGTTTCCATTCTGCATTTTGTGCTGCTCTGCCTGGCAGTAGCTGTTTGTTCATCCACACGCTGTACATGCCTGCAGCATTCTTCCAAGCAGTAACTCCTGATCTTTTTTTTGGCAAAGAGCCGATTAGATCCGCCCCCAGTGACTGAATTAATTCCTACAAGTAACCAGTATCACCTTCAGTTTCTTATGTTTATAACAAATCAAATTTAAAATTGGTTCAAAATTAAGCGAGCTACAGTTGATTTTGTAGTGAAGTCAGGACAGCAGTATCTATGTTTCTATTTCTATGGGTCGTACAGGACTAATGCAAAGTTTGCTGCAGTTGAAAATAAGGTTAATGAGAGCCAAAAGAATGAACTGAAAGACTCTAAATTGCTCTGTACAGTTGCGGGTGGTGATACTCTGGGACTCATCACTGTGTGCCATCAATTATTGGTATGACAATACTGATTCGTGCAGTTTTAAGCTTTAAACACTGTGACAGATCAATTGTCAGGTCAATTTGAACATATTACTGATTAAGACATGGTAACTGTGAACCTTGATAAAAGAGAACTTTGTATCAGTAGAATTATGGATATTCCCACACAGCCATATGCATTGTGGAGCTGAGAAATGGATCACAATTTCTTGACACTTTTATCAGTTTGTGTGGTTGGAAGCCGATTTGCGTGGAGCAGTTTTTGAAGGTCGGAGCGTTTACGTCCTCTCTCGCACTCGGAGATACTGAACTGAGTTCAGATGCAACGTGAAGGGAATTTTCCTCTCGTCCAGAATGTGCCTGCAATGAAAAAAGGTTCATTTGTTGGCCTGAATCTAACCTTTGCCTGTGTGGAAACGGTAGATTGTTGTACAAGAGCGCAGCTGTGAGAGTTTTCACAACGCTCCTCTAGTCCCTCAGCAGTCCCCAAACCACACACACACACGCACACACACACACACACACACACACACACCACACACACACACACACAACACACACACACACACACACACAACACACACAAACAAACACAAACACACTCGCCTTATCCTCTGGTCTAAATGACAGACCTTGCTAACCACAGGGATCTAATTGTAGCGCCGCTCCTCTGTGTGTGTGTGTATGTGTGTGTAGTGTGTGTAGTGTGTTTTCCAATGTGTTCGTATGTGGGTGTGTGACAATCTGCTCTCTAATCTTGTGTGTGTTGGCTAGCAGTCTCTCCCCAGAGAGGGACAGGGGGGGTGACGACAAAACGGTTACCCAGGAATAGCACACTGTGCCATGGACGATACTCTGGGGTCGCCTGGGTGGAGATCTAGAGGAGAGGAAAAAGGAGGAGGTGAGGACAGAAGGGAACACAGAATGGAGGAGGAGGCAGAGCAAAGGGAACTAGAGCATACAGAAGGGAGGTGAGACAGGGGAAGAATGAGGAAAGAGGGGAGGAGGTGCAGAAGAGACAGTTGATGAGATTGATTATTGATCAGACCATAGCAACCATGCTCTTTTGGAAATGTAAAAGTTCTTGGTAACTGATATCCAGAGCACAGTATCGCCCCCTGGCTGTGGCTTCACATGACCTGCGACGATTAGTTGTCAACTATTAAATAATCGGCAACTATTTTGATGATCGATCAATTGTTTTGAATAATTTTTTAAGAAAAAAATTATAAATTCTATGATTTCAGCTTCTCCGATGTGAATATTTTCTGCTATCTATGAGTCCTCTATGACAGTAAACTGAATGTCTTTGGGTTGTGGATGAAAAAAAGACATTTGAGGACCGTCACCTTGGGCATTGATCAACATTTTCCGTCCATTTTATGGACCAAACAACTAATCCATTAATCGATAATGAAAATAATCGTTAGTTGCAGCCCTATATGTAACATACGGACTAGAGAGTGGTATCAATTTTCTCATTTTAATAGCCGGCAAGAAAGCTAATAACCATAGTTCCCTAACTTTAAATGATTCCTTTAACATTGCATTGAATTTTAGTTGTTCCTAGCAGAGTCGAATCAGCACGCTGAATGTTTGCTTTTTGTGCACCGAACTTTCAAAAGAATGCTTTTATTGATCTGTATCGCCGAGCTGATCAGTGAATAGGTTTTTAGATTGATAAATCATTTGAAAGCGTATTACATCATGTGTAGGGTGAAGAAATGGCTGCTACTGGTTGTCAACACAGCTGCTGTGTGTCTTTGTCTCTGATCTCTATTCCAGCTTTGTGTGTGTGTGTGTGTGTGTGTAGAGTGTGTGTGTGTGTGTGCGCCTCCCAGTAAAGGAGCAGTTATTGGAGAAGGAGAATTATTGGTGTCATTAATCACAGCAACTCTCCAAAAGTGTGTTGACTTGTCCTCAGTGCAGTTATGTAAATGGTTTATATACTGTATATACACA